AGTGCCATCTTATTGAAACTTAAGAAAGTTCAATTACTTGGCAGTTGAGAAGTGCATGTGCAAAAATTTCCTAAATTGCATAAAGGAAATTTTTGCACATGCAGCAGTACATAGCATGTATTTAGGCGCCTGGTGTTAGCAGACGCGCCTAAACAACAAATTTTCAGGGTTGTGTTTGCGAAGCTATGCAATTCCAGTTGACAGGCTTTTATTTGGGCAAATTGAGAATCGTATCGAAATTTCCGCTGAAAATGAGAATTGTTTTGAAATTGCGCAATTTGGGCGTCATGGAAACTCCCTATTAGGAACGCTATGATTCTCAAGTGGATTTCAATCGAAGGATGAAGTTTTATGCAGATTAGAGATATAGCTTAGTTTTACATCAAAGTAATTCAAGTTATTCTTGAATGTAGTTGGGTGGGTTCCAACATACTTGTGTATGCATAGTTTTATTAAATCTTTTATCATATTTTAATATTCCTTTCTGTCACCTGCTATACATATTTACAGGTTTTCCTCTGAAAATTCCATATGCAATGATTCGGCAGCTTTCCAACGGTACTCATTCAGGCACTAGATAGTATTCCTCAGACAAGTTCATAACTTACACAAATAAATATTAGCTCTAACAAATTTAACTTGAATTTGGAGTTCAAAATTATGTAAAAATTCACGCTAGATCTATAGGAAAACTGAGCAAAGCCAGCATGGAATGCAATTTCCCTTCTGGCCGGGATGGTTTACAACCTAGGTCGATCTTGAGTTTTCACAAAAGAACAATCATTAAACACCTCGACTGCAGGTTCCAAAGGTTTGGATTCACAGTGACCCGATGAAATCGGTTCATAATCTACCCTACTAAGGAACAGCACTAGGTTACATACATATACTTGTTCATAAATATTTTCATACATGCATACAAACCTACACATACATGCATACATATACAGACCCACGATAGTGAAAAGTGTATTGAAGTGAGGTAGAGCAGCAGCAGCAGCAGTAGAGACAAGCCAGGCAAAGAAATGAACCAACTAAGCAAGCAAAAGCAAGCATACAAAGCATGCAAGATATGAGACCGTGGGAAAGAACATCCAAAGTAGTTCGTTTACCGCTCGGCTCCAACATCGGGCGTAGTTACCACAATCGTGTTGTATATGTAGCTCGTCACATGCTGCTGTTGCTGCCATCGACTTTTATTTTAATTTTTTTTTTACATTTTTCTTCACTTATTTTTATATACATATGTACATTTTTGATTGTGTTTTCTTTTGTCTCGTTTTCTTTCGGTTTGTTTATGTTTTTGCTATGCGTTTTAACGCATTTTCATTTTCACACTGCGTGCCTCTGCCCAGTGTTGTAAACTTTTTTTTTGTTTGTAAGCCTGGCTTTGATTGTGGTTCTCTTTCTTATTGCTTCGCTTTACTTTTAGATTTTCTTAAACCCGCTTAGCTTTTTTTCGTTTATCGTCTGTGACTTGTTTGGTTTTTTTTTATTTATTTTTGTTTCATACCTTTTATGCTGTGTTAGCGTTTTTAGAGAGCTTGTCAGTTGGAGAGTATGCGACAGAGCGCCTTACATCTCTCGAGCGTGGCTTATCGCTCACGGAGCAACGAGTCTCGAATTTTCTTTCGATCTTGCAGTGATTTTTGAGCAAGCATTTGTTTTGTGGCTCTCTTGTCACTTGTCTTGGAAGCGCTCAGCTCCACAAAAGCCGGTCTTAACAACAAACAATAGCATACGCATACCTGTCTACAAGGTATTTCCGACAATTGGCTCCGTTTCGGGAATTATGCTGGCGAGCGCTGTGCGCTGCTCTTCATACATTCGTATGCGCATAGTTTCGGTGCTCTACCGCTGTCCACGCAACTGGCCAGTTTCTTATGTATTTTTGCCTATAGTTTCTTTTAACCTTAGCAGAGGTTTACCTGTGTCTTTATTACTTTTGGACACGTCTTTTGCTTATGCTTCCTCAGGTCTTTTACTTATTCTATTATCAACTGCTGCTAGTCTTATTTGTTTTCATTCGTTTGCCTTCGTACTTGTACTACCAAACCAAGATCAGTGTTTGTCTTGTGCGTGTGTGTGTTTGCCTTAGCCGCCACAGTGTTCTTCGCGACAGACATGTGTAACACAGCTGCACTTTTCGAGATTTATGCGTGAGCTGCTACAACAGCATCGTGTCTTGGTCTTGGCACAAACTTGGATCGCAGAGGCGATGGAGACAAGGTGTCCGTGGAAGATTTAATTTATTTATCTGCTGTTTTCGTTTCGCTTTTCACCTCGTCCATCGGTGTGCTTTTCATGTGCCTTGCGTCTGACAGCACCAAACCCAGCTCAAGAATGTAGTTCAATGCAGCCAATATGCGCATGAATATGTGTACTTAGTTATGTATTTACATTAGGGTGCCTCACCGAATAAAGTTGTATTTTTTTATTATATTTTCGAATTCCGCCGAAATATTTCGGGAAAATACTTACACTTAGGCTTTCTATTAACAAACAAAAGTAATTTTTCGTAAAAGTATAAAAAACCGGATTTTATTTATATTATTTTTTTAGGGTTTTTCAAATCGGTCCAGCTCACTAAATCTTAATATTTTTTCGAAATATTTTGGCGGAAGTATTAAAATAAAACAAATTTTATAATTTCAATATGAAACAGTACCGATTTTTTATTTTTATTTTTTTATATATTTTTTTTATGGGTGATGGGTCCTAATGTTCAAGTGTACATGGGTATACAAAACCACGAGTACCAGCTTTCCTAGCATGCCGATGATTCAGTAGAGAGCTTAAACATTTTAGCCACTCGCTTGCCAATATCGCATCTATAAAATGCCAATCTACTACATAAATACTTGGGTTTTGTAGCCCAACAAAATCAATTTGCTATCAGCGACATATTTAAGCTCTTAACACTCATTTGTATGTATACATAAATATATATGAGTGCCTGTGTGCCTAAGGAGTTGCTGCATTTTGACCACAATTTTGTCCAAGTCACATCTTGGTATGCATTTTTGGCCCATATCCAATGCAATCACGTTGTAACATTCGAATGTTAGTGCTTTGGCAAGTTGGTTGCCGGCGCTGTGTTGATGAAGGGGATCGCGGGTGTCTATTGCGCTTTAGCTGGTTTGCAATTTTACTAGCTCTATTGCAGCAGTCAAGCAAAAAAAACCCAACAACTGCGTGGACTTTGGCATTAATTTGCATAAGCATGAGTAATGCTTCAAATTTGGCTAACAAGCTATGCAGCCAGGCGGAGGGAGGGGGACGTCGTGCAATGTAGCGCAGCAAATGCTTTTGGGCAGTAAAAACAGGATTTTTGCGTGCATTATTTATGGCGGTTTGTTTTTTTTTCATTTTCGTCTGCAGTTATTTTTCGACTGCACCAATTCCTTTCTTATTACCGTTGCTTTGTTCAAAATTTTTCTTAATTTTTTTTTTTTTGTTTAATTTTTAACCAACTTTTTGTTGCACTCACTGCCCGCTGGCTAATAATGTTTAATGACGCTTTGTGTGCAAAACTTCAATAATGATTGACTTTGACTAACTGAAATGATTTACCTTTTTATGTGTTATACAAATTTTTTAGTACTTTTTCATAGCATGCACATCTACATACATACATACCGACATACTATTTTTTGTATGTATTTATCTTGTGTGCGTTTAGTCCAAATCGATTGGGGTCAATAAATTTTGGGAAACACACAGTGAATGGCCATTGTGAAGGCGTGAGAACTGCCAGGGCGGACTTTTTTTTTTTGTCGATTCGATAATTTGCATGTACTCTTCGGCTGAATGCCTTAGGATTTTACTGTTATTTATAGCTGGCAAAAAGCGCTTTTTGGGTTGGAATGCAAAATTATTACAATAATCAATAGCAAATTTTTTTGCTACACAAGCGAGAAACTGAAAAATTTCACAGATTTAAATTTAGGTTTAAAAAAAAAATAGAACGTTTTTTAAAACAACGCAGAGCTGGCCCTACCTCTAATCACTCTCGCTTCGCCAGAGACACCGGTTGGAACCAGAGTAGCTGTAGCGCCAAAAACAAGCTTTGACGAGGCAAACTTTTTCAGCCACAGCCTTCGCTTGACCGATACGAAAGTAAAATCCAGCTTCTCCCCGCAAACTTCCGCCCCTACAGCTCTTCCGGGCGCAGCGGTAACACCCCTTTCGAGTATTTTCGTCAGCCACCAGACTTTTACTTTTGCACAGGCCATCAGGGGATCTTGGATGTAGTCTTCGTGGACCGTGGTTTCTTGGGAATGCAGCAGCAAGAGACGACCTCATTTCCCTCTACTTCTTGGAGAATGAGGCCAAATGTACGCCATCCGTCGCCGGTCCTTAGCAGCTATCTGCTAAGTTCTAGCTCCTACTTTGAAAAAGTTTGAAGAAGCGAACTCTCCCCTTCATGTAAACATAAGTTTCTAAAAATTTAATTATATAAAGAAATATATATTTTCCCTAAAAAACAAAAATGGAAAATTAAAAGCAACTTAAATTAAAGAAAAAGAAAAAATTTTAATAAGTATAAGAAAATTCCGCTTGCCAGGACTCGCACTCGGATCTCTCGAATAGCACGCATGTGCTTTGCTCATTCGGCTATTGCGGCTGTTGGAGGACGCGAGCTAAATGATGTACGAGTGCTTTCTATCAAAATAGCTTTTCACCACGAGTGGTTAATGAGAGAGCTTTTTTTCTGAGACTTTTGTGCTAGAATAACAAATGTCTTTCGAACCATCTTGGCATCTGGCTTTCATTTCGATCCCTTTATCTTATACGCTTTTGACAAACCCTTTACAATCTGGAAGGCTTTTTAAGAATTCCATTTCCTCGCTCCCAATGATCTTCATTTCACAGCGATCCCATTCACTCTATTCTCTCGCTTAATCCAAAAAAGAAAATACTTCATGTAACCTTTGAAACCAAAATTTCTTCTGCATTCCGAACTATGTAATCATAAGTATTTCACTCTATCATTACAGGCTTTCAAGGCAAACATTGCGAAGATAACATCGATGACTGTCCTGGAAATTTGTGTCAGAATGGTGGCACTTGCGTAGACAGCATCAACACCTACCGTTGCGTCTGTCCACCAAATTTTACCGGAGATCTCTGTGAGGAAGATGTGGATGAATGCGCGATGAGGTGAGTTAAAAGCAAAAACAAATATTTTCAACTATGTACTTAGAGATGGTTTGTAAACATATTTGCGCTTTCGCACATACTAAATCACACCTTTTACCCCCTAAAACACCAATTTTCTCCACAGACCATCCGTTTGTCAGAATGGCGCTACTTGCACCAATACGCACGGCAACTATTCCTGCATCTGTGTCAACGGTTGGGAAGGTAGAGATTGCAGCGACAATGTCGATGATTGCGTAGCTGCAGCCTGCTTCTATGGCGCCACTTGCATAGATGGCGTCGGCTCGTTCTATTGTCGTTGCACACCTGGCAAAACTGGTCTCCTCTGTCATTTGGATGATGCTTGCACCTCGAATCCTTGTCATGCGGACGCTATTTGCGACACTAGTCCTATAAATGGCTCCTACACTTGTTCCTGTGCCACTGGCTACAAAGGCGTGGATTGTTCAGAAGATATCGACGAATGTGATCAGGGTTCACCTTGCGAGCACAATGGAATTTGTGTGAATACACCCGGCTCGTTTATGTGCAATTGCTCACAAGGCTTCACGGGTCCACGCTGTGAGACGAATATCAACG